ATTCTTTTAAATGCGCACGCGTCCGCTGTCAAAAAGCAACTGAGCGGAATGAAAAAAGGCTCACGAAAGAAACCCGAAGAACGAAGTCTTCTGATACACACAAAAAAATATGATGGCCAAGCCGCTGGAAAAGTGTAACAAGATATTCAAGTGTAAATGTAGTCCGTAGGAATTTTAAGTTACTTTCATGCATTTTTTTTAGAAAGGACATCTACTTTTTGCTTACTTCATTTTTAAATTAATATTGACACATGTGTATCTACATATGTGGAAAAGCGTCTAACAAAATTCTAATTAAAATGTTGTGGTTTAAAGTTTTGGCTCAATACTATTTTATTCCCTGTGTACGATATCCCAAAATAATAGTTTATTATTTAATTACTTGCAGCTCGAGATTAATTTAGTAGCACTTTGTATACGAATAAACATAAAAATATATATCCCTTTCAGTGTAGGGTAATCAATTTCTTTACAATAATTTTATATTGTATTTTAAATATTTTTTATGAATAAATATTTTAAAATAAATATAACATTTCAAACACTTGTATGAATACCATTTGCCCGGTTATTTGTTCAAGAGGGATGCAAATTTGATCTTGCAAGTAATCACACCTAAGAACACATACACTACACTCACTGCTCGACCGGTAAGAGAGATTACTTAAACTATTTTGCGACTCTAAATTAGAAGACATGCCTTACAGTCTTCACTAGAACTAGTTGGGAATTATAGGGCTACAAGAAAATATGTTTCCTAAACAAATATTAAAAGCGGCAATAACTATGTGTTCCGACAGTAAATTAAACATTCTTCAGGCAAGTAACACACATACATACATACATACATACATACATACATACATACATACATACATACATACATACATACATACATACATACATACATACATACATACATACATACATACATACATACATACATACATACATACATACATACATACATACATACATACATACATACATACATACATACATACATACATACATACATACATACATACATACATACATATACATACATACATACATACATACATACATACATACATACATACATACATACATACATACATACATACATACATACATACACATACATACATACATACATACACTACACTCACTGCTCGACCGGTAAGACAGATTACTTGAAATATTTTGTGACTCTAAATTAAAAGGCATTCCTTACAGTCTTCACTAGAACTAGTTGGGAATTATAGGGCTACAAGAAAATATGTTTCCTAAACAAAAATCTATATTATTTGTACTCTGGCAATCGAGTACAAAGTACTCGTTAGTAAAAAGTAAAAACTTGAATTTTGGATTGCCTTAATATGATAATTATTTAATTACATCATAGAAATAGTAATAGGTGAATAAATGAACATAATAATACCGAATTATTTTAATATTACTTTATTATAATAATTACTTTATACTAGTAAATATGTCGCTAGAGTATTCAGCTCGCGACGTGGAAAATGCCGCCAAAAAGTGTCTGCATAGTGCAAAACCAATGTATGACCGTTACGCATCTTTTTATTCTAGTGTCTTTGGTTTTAGTCTTCACTATATTTTACAGGAAATTTGAAGGTATTAAGGGATACTAGAAGTTAAAAAAGATTTAGGTTAATAGGTTTGAAATCAGTCTTCAAAATGTTAAATAAAAACGATTAGCCGACGTTTCCCCTAAACAATAAACAAAGAGCTGGTAGAATTTATGAATTTGTAAGCTGTTTTACAACGATTTTAGGATAAATGTACTGGTAGTATTCAAAATAAATTTGTTTATACGAAGAAATTAATAATAATAATGGTTATAAAGATGAAAACATATCTACATAAACATATTAATTTATTTACGAAACTTTTAGAAATCGACTTCAACCAAAGTTTATGCCTTTATATTACCACTGCACGCACCAGTAAATATTTCTGCATTTCCCATAATAATATAAATTTAAACCCCATTTTATGTGGAACCGGTACTGTTCATCGTATTATAAATTATGAATAGCATACAACTAGCTCAAAAACTTCAATCAAACCCCGAGAAAATTAACCCCACAAAATTCCACATTACCATGAAATACAAGCCGGCACATACAATTCCTACACAGCACGTTTTATCCCCATTAGTGATCGGATTTCGAATTTGAAGACTCAGCTAAATTTTAAGAGCTGTGCTCGCCAACTTCCATGTACAAATCTCCAATGTCCCATTAATGCGAATGCGCTGACTCATAGATCTGCACTTACCGCTTGTATATAATATACAAAATCTTGGGTTACGTAGTGACTCGAATTTTCTAAAAGAAAGTTCTAAATTTAGGCCACTGTATTCTACACTACCACTGCACTTATTGGTATAATTAAAATATTAGATATAGTCCTTCGGTTAACAAACAAACAAATTAACAACAGATCTAACTAACACACTTTGTAATTTAACTTTGTACATTTTCAATGAGGTGATCAAATAATAAATATTATAATAATAATTAATAATAATTATTATTATATTCTCGTTTGTTTCCATGAGACTTTATATTACACTGCACTTTTGTTTGTTATTGCGTCCAGAACGAAACGTTTCCGAAAGTAAACAATCTTTTGTTACATTTTTTTGAATATTCTTTTAAATGCGCACGCGTCCGCTGTCAAAAAGCAACTGAGCGGAATGAAAAAAGGCTCACGAAAGAAACCCGAAGAACGAAGTCTTCTGATACACACAAAAAAATATGATGGCCAAGCCGCTGGAAAAGTGTAACAAGATATTCAAGTGTAAATTTAGTCCGTAGGAATTTTAAGTTATTTTCATGCATTTTTTTAGAAAGGACATCTACTTTTTGCTTACTTCATTTTTAAATTAATATTGACACATGTGTATCTACATATGTGGAAAAGCGTCTAACAAAATTCTAATTAAAATGTTGTGGTTTAAAGTTTTGTCTCAATACTATTTTATTCCCTGTGTACGATATCCCTATTCGTGGTTTTATTTTGGGTGGACCTCTGTTAAATACAAAATGGTACCATTTTTATCGGCTATATGTGCGCTACTATTATCTGGCGACATTTTTTAATTTATGCAAAATATAAGAAAATTAATAATATTGATGATAATATTTGAGAATCGTTCTAAATGATCGTTCTTCACAGCATTAAAAGCTAATTAGTAAATTAAAATTCCACTAGATGAATTTTTGGTCATACTTGGTTTACTTATACAAGGTTTACTTATCCATGCAATAAGCTCGAACTTTTTCGGCCTTATATGCTTATATGTCCTTCGGTACTTTTTGCGCTTAATTAAAAGCAAAAACTAATTAAAAAGTGGCGTTCTTTCTTAAGAATAAAAACAACAGTTACGGATGACGCTATTATGTAAAGACTAACACTTAAAGCTAATAATAGTACATCTGCTTTCCCGCCGATTTTAATGCGTATATCATTAAGTATATTATTATTTTATTATGCATGCATTTTAATTCTATTTCACAATTGCGTCCTTCCAGTGTCTGACACATCACTAAAAATACTACATCGTAGTACATTTTTGGTATGCATCCTTCGAGAAATTTGTTGATTCCGGGTTTGTTTCGATTTTCACGTCAGTGCAAAAAGGTTCTCACTTGCGAATAGTTTTGTAATTAATCAGAGAAAAACTAAATTACAAAAAAAGAAAAATCAAGATGAAGGGAAATGTTCGTAAATCCGCGGCAAATAGCAAGCCATTTGTCTCTGGAGGCATTAACGTAAGAAACTTTTATATAGAGTTCCCTGTGACGTCAAGAAGAATTGTATTCCAAGTAAAAAATGTACCACGAAATCAAACATTAAAGGACTCATCCACATTTGATTTGTGAAATAACAGAGTTTGTATACTATATACAAAATCTTGGGTTACCTAAGTGATTCGAATTTGATATTTCTACATTTAGACCACTGTATTCTACACTACCACTGCACTGATGGGTATGATTAAAAGATTAGATATAGTCTTTCGGTTAAGAACAAACACAGAAATTAACAACAGATCTAACTAACAGATTTAACTTTGTAAATATTTAAAGAGGTGCTCAAATAGATTCCTTAATTATTATGTTCTACCGCCGTTTTCTTGTTTTTTTAAATTATTTTCCTTTTCATACTTCTTTTTTGTTGTTGTTTCCCTGCGAATTTGAATTGCCCAGAATTTTTTTCGTTATTGCGTCCAGAACAAAAAGTTTTCGAATTTTCGCTAATTTTTGTTACATACTTTTGAATATTGTTGTAAATGCGCACGCGTCCGCCGTCAAAAAGCAATTGAGCGTAATGAAAAAAAGGTTCACGAAAGGAACCCAAAGAACAAAGTCTTCTGATACACACGAATAAATATAAAAGAAATACAAAATGGTACAATTTTTTCAGCTATATGTGCGCTACATATTATATATATATTTTATATTGAGAATCGTTCTAAGCGATTGTTCTTCACTGCCTTAAAAGCTTATGAGTAAAATAAAATTCCACTACATGAATTTTTGGTCATACTTGGGAACACAAGGTCTACTTATCCATGCAAAAGGTTCGAACTTTTTCGGCCAGAATTGTAGATTTTTAAAGTCCTAATTTAATATTGAGAACAATTTATTATTTTTCTAGGACCTTTGACGAGTTACTGACCATTTATTAGGGCTGCAGTTCTAATTGCATTCGGGTTGAGCTTATATGTCCTTCGGTACTTTTTGGGCTTAATTGAAAGCAAAAACTAATGAAAAAGTGGCGTTCTTTCTTAGGAATAAAAACAACAGTTACGGTTGAAGCTATTATGTAAAGACTAACACTTAAAGCTAATTATAGTACATCTGTTTTCCCCGCCGATTTTAATGCATATATCATTAAGTATATTATTATTTAATTATGCATGTATTTTAATTCTATTTCACAATTGCGTCTTTCCAGTGTCTGACACATCACTAAAAATACTGAATCGTAGTATATTTTTGGTATGCTTTATCTTTCGAGAAATTTGTTGATTCGGGCTTGTTTGGATTTTCACGTCAGTGCAAAAAAGGTCTCACTTGTGAATAGTTTTGTGATTAATCAGAGAAAATATAAATCACAAATAACGAAAAAATCAAGATGAAGCGAAATCGTCCAACCGCGGCAAATAGCAAGCCATTTGTCTCTGGAGGCATTTACGTAAGAATCTTTTATTTTTTTGCAAGTGTGTGTATGAGTGTATAGAGTTCCCTGTGACGTCACGAAGAGGTGTATTTTAAGTAAAAAATACATAAGAAAAACAACCAACCATTGATGGAATCATCCACATTTGATTTGTGAAATAACAGAGTTTTCGTTTTTATTTCTATAATTTGCAGCGCACAAAATGAAAGTGTGTGTATTCACCCCAATTGTGAATCCATTTGCAATAGCCACTAAAAGCGGGTTAATCGAAAGTGCAGACCGTTGTCCGAATTCCACCAGCATCCACAGCTCACGGTCCACAAGGCACCCTCCCTTCCCTTCCAACCACTCCCCACTCGCCCTCCTCATCCGTATCCCATCCATTTGTTCATTCTACTCATTCCACTCTGCTCGTGCTTTCGAACAACTAGAGATGGCCAGCACTGCGATAGATTCACGCTGGACTTGCGGTTATCGCTAACTTTTATGGCTACTGAAAATGCATTCACCCGAAATTGTAACTAAAATTATTAGTTTTGCGTCAGATAGCAATGCCCATTCACTTCACCGCAAGTGCCCGAAACTAGCCGGCGACCATGAACTCAGCCGAAGACCGAAGGATCCCCATAACTAAACTATGCCTAATCCAAAATTATTTCGTTTTCGATATGTTCCTTACTTAAAAAAAAAAAAATTATTCAGTTTTTGTTTAACAATTTAACAGCGTGATAGATACATGCATACCGCAGAAAATACTAGATTTGTGCTTGACACTTTAAAATTTTGGACATATAGAGTATAGAATTGCATGCGAAACTTCGCTGATGCAGAATGCATTAGCAAATAAATTAGGTCACAATGATACCTTATTTATTTGCTACTTGCATGCTGTTGAGCGAATGTCTTTAGCAACAGGAGGAGCCGCTTGAATTACTATCAGTGGAGTGCACCTGTTTTCAATAGATTAGCATAGACTACAGGTTCCGAAGTCCTTGGCTGGATGCGATGACCGGAGATCAACAGTCGCTGGGCACGTGGCTCCGTTGGTGCAGAGCTTGGTTTCGGGGCACTTGGGTCGCAGGAATGGCCATGGCTAGTTCCTGAACTATGGTTTTTAGTAGACCAGCCGAGCAGCCTGACGCTTCCGGGTAACTTGACGACTTGATGGCTTCCGTTGGCCAGCGAGTCTCTTTTTGTTGACCCACTGGACCAGCCCGCTGCAAGTGATTTTGTCCAGGGGAACCTGGCGAAACCCGTTGCCTTCGCCAACTAATCAGCTAATGAAACTTTTTTGCAAATGCAGAATCCCAATGCCACCGTCAAGCCTTTGATTCAACAGCCGTTGCAGGATGCCAATGTCCAGGAAAAGCAGGCTGCTCTGGTTTATTCAAAACCGGAGCCCCCGGTGGCTGTTCAGTCGCCACCGTCTTCTGTCCCCGCTCAAGTGGCGGCCTTGCCCTTCCAGCAGAAGAATTTGGATGCGGCCGCCCTCGCCGCCAAGCTGCCCTTGCCAATCATCGTCAAGGAGGAGCCGATCTCTATCGACGAGGAAGGGCCCATCGACGTCATAGAGGAAAATAGCAGTGCCAGCGGCATCGGGGGCAAGATCCCCTTTAAAAAGATCTTCCAAAAGCGCAAGAAGTCGTCTGGTAAGCGTGGAAACCTTTGGTCGCTCAGATTTCCCACATTTTCACACACACACGAATCACTAGATATATCTTTAGAAGAGTGGTGGGAGAGAACCGTATTAACATTGTTGTAGACAGGCCAGAAATTACCTAACACCTTCAAATTAATGAAAGTAAATAAGACGGCCACAAATAGTTACGAAAAATAATGATAATACCATAATAATCCTCTATATTTACTCGATCCTAGAACGCACCCGGGACAAGAAGCTGCGTCAGAACCGCCAACTGCGCAAGTCCATGCTGCCCAAGAACGCTCTGATGGCCCTCAACGAGGTGAAGGGCGTGACCATCAGCGATTTCACCATCGATAGCAATCCCGACGGCGGATTCACGGCCGTTGTCACTGTGAACTGCAATCAGTACGAGGGCAAGGGTGTCTCAAAGATGACGGCCAAGAACGCGGCCTGCGAGAAGGCATGGCGCGACTTCATAATTGCAAGGATGACCCCCAAGCCGACCCGTATTCAGCACAGCGAATGCGGCGGGGAGCCAATGGATACAAACGAGGATGAGGCCGGAGATGATGCACCGGAGGATGATCTGCCCATGTTGAATCTGGCCTCGTTTGCCATCTACAAGCTGTTTGCAGAGTGGGAGCGCGAGGGCTATGTCGTGCCCGAGATGCACCCTTCGGCCAATGCTGCTCAACAGGCCGGAGGGGATGCTGGAACTCCCGTTCCCGCGGCGCCGAAGGAGCCAAAGAAGCCGCCAGTGCGCACCGAGCTGCCCTCTGGATGGGAGACCATGCATCCGGCCACCATTCTTTGCATTGTAGGCCAACCCAGCAACGATATACAGTCACTATACAGTTACTAATCAATCCCTCTGCAGATGCGCCCGGGACTCAACTACGTGGACTACGGGTCATCTGGCGACAAGCCCAACGTCATGCAGCATCTGGGAATCACTGTGGACAACCAGGAGTTCCACGCCAACGGAAGATCCAAGAAGATCGCCCGTCGCAACGTGGCCGTAGAGGTGTGCAACTCTCTGTTTGGCACCAACTTCACCTGCAGCGACACATCTTAAGAGACCAATACAGTACTGCAATACACACCGATGCCTCTCTTAACGGCCAGCGATCCGAGGATTGTGACCCTGACGTCAAATGCGCAACTTTGTTAAGAAGATGAAAGATTTTTGTCTGTGAAGATGAAAAGGCATATTAAACAATAGGTATTTTCCATTTTAGTTTGCATTTTGCTCAGCTCTTACTTATGATTTCCTTAGGTAGCATTAGTACATACGGGGGTCACAGCCCTTTTCAATCTAAAAAATCTTAAAAATGAACTATGAAGGTTATCCAAATAATTCTACCGCAGGATTCTTTGTTAATGTTGTCAATTTGTGACCCAGTGTAGGATTGGTACATTTTTTTGGAGGCAGATCGGATATCAAATATAATTATGCTTACCAGTGAATGACATTTTTTTCTCGTTAACTAGATTAAGATAAATTATTTGTAACCTATGTTAGTCTTGGGTATAATTATTTAATTTTTAAAAATACCGCCGTTGAGTGAGGGTATACATACAAAGATGAAAACACATTAAGAACATCAATAAAATGATTTAAAATAATAATGTATAATACTCATTGAATTTTATTGCTCTGAGTTGAGACAGCTTTTAAACTAAAAATGCATGTTTAATATAACGACGTACAGTTAACTATTGCCTTGCTGCATTTTCCTGAGTTATACATGTAACAATATACCGGGAATTTTTGTCAGTGTATGGAAGCAGGGTTTGGGTCCGTGCTAGTTGGGTATTCAGTTTACCACCACAAACTGCGAACAGCGTTGCCAGTCCGTCAGTGCCAGCTGATTTTTCGTTAGTTTTCGTTATCAAACGCAAAAGCCAACGAAATGTCCAAATTTCTGTCCCAAGCGGCCCTAAATACGCTGCGAAACACGCGCCTGGGCTCGCGGCAACTGTAAGTACTCCACGATCACCCGGCTACTACCAGAGTAACCCATTTCTGCTGTTGTCCAGGGTGCGCAGTTTTGCGGGCATCGCCTCCACGCGCAACCATCGCGAACCGGCTCACCAGGAACCGGGATGCGGACAGGCTCTGGGCCGCGGCCTCCTGCAGATGCGGCTGCCGGTGGCGGGCAGGAGGAGCATGTTCATCCAGACGCAGGATACACCGAATCCGGACAGCCTGAAGTTCCTGCCTGGCGTGGATGTCCTGGGAAAGGGGAACACGTACGACTTCCCCAACGGAACCACCGCCCACAGCAGTCCTTTGGGTAAGTGAGCTGCACCAAGGTGCCCCTGGGGATCCCAAGTTTCCGCTTCTTGGTTGGCCGAAAAGATTACATTGTTCCAAAAGTCCATCGGCGAAGAATTTGTCGCACAGATAGGTTGTAAAAAAGAGCTACAAAGGTAACGAGTGGCCTTCTTCAATGCCTGCTGCTGTAATCAAAAGGGCTTGGCAAAAAATGTAAACTTAATTAGGCAAACCTTTCAGCTTTGGTGTGGTATGCAATAATTTTACTAAGGGAAGTGCTAATCAGCCCTATAATGAATGTCTAGATACAAAATAATGCAACGAAGGTTATTTAGTTGGATGCTGATCAATATGTAGAAAAAAAGGTACTTCACCTAAACTATCACTTTGTTTGATGAAGAAAAACCACGCTTAATATATAATATTAATATTATTAATATTATATTAAGTTTTAAGTTTCCTCGCTGTTTACATATTCCTAGCGTTTTTTGATATTAATGGGCAGAAAGTCGCAGAATCGAAGCCATCCAGTTAACACTAAATGCAAATTTGCTTTTTCCAAATTATAACGCCAGATGTTAGTCCTCCCGCGATAAGTGAGAGGTTTGGTTATATTATTTATATGTTTAATTGCAATGTTATGCACTAGTTCTCTCGCACCTTTCTTTAGTTTTACCATAGCAAGTGGTTTAAAAACCAATTCGTTACCATTCTATTTGCGCTTTGTGTAGCCACTCCTCTTAGGTTCCCCAAAGCGCTCCGTCTCTGTCTAATTAATGCGCGAGGCCGCTACTAAAAGTAGACGCACTGAGTCTGGAGGCCAGCATACTTTATTGTTAGATGTTCCTGCAGATCCAAGCATTCCCACTCTAATTTCTGCCAGCATTTACATTTTTGTTAGAGCTACAAGAATATAAATGCGTAAGGTCGTCCGACTTTGCTTCCCTTATATGATATCGTGTAATGCTAGAAAAGTACACTCTTCTCAATCCGCAGCCAAATTGCTGTTCCGCGTGGAAGGCGTCAAAGGAGTATTCTTCGGCGCCGACTTCGTCACCATCTCGAAGCAGGAGGGCGCCGAGTGGAGCCTGATTAAGCCAGAGGTGTTTGCCGTCATAATGGACTTCTTTGCCAGCGGCTTGCCCGTCCTCCACGATGCGCAGCCCAATGCGGACACGGAGATTCTCGAGGACGACGACGAGACGGTGATGATGATCAAGGAGCTGCTCGACACGCGCATCCGGCCCACAGTGCAGGAGGACGGCGGCGACATCGTCTTCATGGGCTACGAGGCCGGCGTCGTCAAGCTGAAGATGCAGGGTTCCTGCTCCTCCTGCCCCAGCTCCATTGTGACGCTGAAGAACGGCGTGCAGAACATGCTGCAGTTCTACATCCCGGAGGTGGAGTCCGTTGAGCAGGTTTTCGACGAGGCGGACAGGATGATCGACAGTGAGTTCGAGCGCTTCGAAAAGAACCTCAAGACGCTCAAGCAGCAGGAGCCCAGTGGCGCCGGTCCCCACTAGAGGAACTCATTTCAATTTCCCTGTTTACGTTGCTAATTCTCTAGTTGTATACATAACGTACATGTAGTTGATTGTTTAAATAAATCTACGGCTTTAAGCTTAACTGTTAGTGCATTGAACTGAAGCACACAAGTGCATATTTAAGCTTTTATCTGTGGTCACAAAGGAAAACTAACCTTGATTGGCACTTCAAGCCCAGCAGGGCAATTTGTAAACAAACACGTAATGAACTCATTGAAGTTTCTAAGAAACAATTCCATTTTTAATGGCCCATGTTGTCTGTTTTGTCGATAAAAAAACAGTGCAGCGAAGCAACACATTTCAAACTACTAGTGTACACTTAGACGTGGGTATGCAAATATTAAAAAATGGGCTTTATAAGAACAGCCCACTGAGAATAGCTGGAGCAAGGCATACATGAGGATTTGTAGCCCAAGGAGTGAGCCTTGGCCTCCAAGTCGACTAAAAACCAGCAGCCCAATTGATTCCGCACTAAGCAAGGTCAATAATTCGAAGAATATCTAGTGTCAGTTTGACCCCCATTGGCAATAATTGGGTCAATAACCCGTGTCATTGCCATCGATTCCACAACTCGTCGGAGGGACGCATTGCCAGGCGATTCCGCTGCCAGGCTACCGAGTTTAATCAATAAGCCTACCAGAGAAGAAGCCACCGAGGGCTGGGGCTGAGAAGCACTCCATCCAGAGACGCTGCACCGAACAGACCCAAAGTAAACAGATCCCAGCGGAAGATAAGTGGGTAATATATCGCGTCCGTCAACCAATGCTCTGCTGGGCCAACGAGGATCACTATTTGAGCCAACGCTACCCGAATCCGCAGCAAAAGGCGCCCGAAACGCTCAAGAACCTGCTGTTGCGATCCAGTGTACCGATAGTGAGTGCTCCGAATCCCGAGTGGGACACCCAAATCGCCGGCACCATGGCACCGCTCAAGGGGCAGGAGGTGCTCAAGTTCCACAAGCACTCCTACCTCGAGAACCGCATCTTCGATCACCGCCTGGTCAAGGACAACCTGCTGGACAAGTGGCCCACCGCTGACATGAACGAGTACAACGAGCGCAAGGACCACCGCAACCTCATGGAGTCCTATGTACCATTAACCCATACCACTAACCATTACCATTACCCTTAGCCATTGCACCTAGTTTCGTATCTGGGCATTCATCTCCCATAGAAGCACTAAAAGTAGTGAAGCACCTTGTCCAGCTGTAGCTGCTTTAGAAGATGTCTGCTTCCTGTGTGAAGGACTATAGCGCTGCTTAAGATATCGTTTGAACCTCCTCAATTCCACATATACTCGTACAGCGATCGAGCTGGATTCATGTCACATTATCCATTATATTTTAATGCCACCAATTGAAGTTGCCCAGTAGTTATCTGTTGTAAAGTCGATCCATTTTCATTCCCACGCGGCCAAAGTTCGATGAGCAATCGGAGTAGGCCCTGTTCGAGCTCGGGGCGCTGTCACCTGGTCCCAACCAGGGTTTGGATTAGTTTTTTCCGCTCCTCGAAAGGGAACGTATCTGTGTTCTGTGCTTTTTGAAATCATTCGTCAGTTCCGAGTACCCAGTCCAAATTCCAAGTGGCACAAATTACTAGTACTCCATTATCCCTAACGATTTGATTTAAAACCGGAACCGAATCCGAATCCGAAACCGATACCGAAACCTCCGACCACAATGAGTCACAATGGTGCTGGTGGCGGAGCCGGCGGATCGGGCATCCCGCCAACCACGGTCATGTATTCCCAATTGCAGCCATGGAGCCAGGCGGGCGCTCCGCCCTGCATGGAGCCCGTCATGGGACCCTCGATCCCGCCGAGAGTTGGCGCCGCCTACGAGACGCCCACGAAGCACCCGTGGCGCCCGGCGATGGCCTATGAGCTCATCCAGGTGAAGCACCTGCCCGAGCAGCCGATGACCAACCAGCTGACCAAGCAGTGCTTCCTGCCCAAGGGCATGAAGACGGACGGCATGATATTCCCCAACCTGGTCACCGGATTCGATCGCAATCCCCAGCACGCCGCCCGGGCTGCCCTCTACACGCGGTACACCAGCAACGAGTGGTACAACAACAACATGACCAAGTACTCCGAGTCGAACATGAATCGGTAAGTGGCTCCGCCGGCGTGGCACCAAGCTCCGTGTGACTCATCGTGTCCTTCAGCAACCTATCCGAGCGCATGCGGAATGACGCAGTGCGTCTGATGCGGGAGACCGACGAGAAGGCCACCTCGGGCCAAAGGGACGCCGGCCGCAGGCTGGGCGAGCGCATCACCGACCTGACCTTCTGGCGCAACGAGCTGAACGCGGAGCTGGAGAAGCTGATTGCCGAGATGTCGGACATCAACGACCTGCAGCGGCAGTGCGGCAAGGCGCTCCTCGACCTGGAGATACCGCTGCACATCGCCCAGGAGTGCCTCTTCCACCGGGAGTCGCGCCAGGGCACGGAGAAGGTGCACGACATCGTGGAGAAGGCCCTCCTCGTGGAGATCAACAACCTGAGGAACTCCCGCGACCGCCTGGGCGGTCTGCACGAGAAGATCTCGAAGCAGGCCCTCGACTGCCGCGGCGCCCAGCACCTGCTCGAGGACGACGTGTCCCACAAGGAGTCCTCGCTCGGCATCGACTCCATGTGCCACCAGCTGAACAACCACAGTCGCGGCATCACCTACTACGGCGGCATCGAGAAGTTCGATCCCTCGGTCAGTACCCAGGAGTCCTGGGCCCAGGCCAGCAGCGAGCACGTCCGCCGGTGAGTTGGGAAAGCAGAGGTGCTAGCTACACCTAGCGGCAGTTGGAAAACATAATTCTAATTGACAATCCCTTGTCTCCACAGCTCACAGGCGGAGCGGGCGAAGCTCTCCCAGCTGCGGAGCGACGCCCAGAGTGTGGTCAACTCGGTGGCCACCACCGTATGGGACTTCTGGAGCAACACGAACAACGCCTTCGATCGCCGCTCCCAGGAGATGGCCGAGGCGAAGAACCGTGTGCAGCTGCACCTGCAGAAGGTCCAGCAGGAGCTGTTCGACATGGAGAAGCACCTCTTCCTGCTGCAGAAGGCCATCCAGGACAAGTCCGGGCCGCTGAAGGTGGCCCAGACGCGGCTGGAGGCCCGCTCCCATCGGGAGGGCGTCGAGCTGTGCAAGGACCACGCCCAGGACCGACTCGTCCAGGAGGTGCAGGACATCCAGGGCGCCGTGGAGACGCTGCACCACAAGCTCATGGAGGCGGAGGCCACCCACCAGGGTCTCCTGAAGACGCGCTGCACCCTGGAAGTGGATCTGCGGAACAAGGTCAACGCCCTGTTCATCGACCGAGAGAAGTGCATGAGCCTCCGGCGCTCCTTTCCGGTCAGCAATCTGATCAAGTACTGATCTGGACCCGCACTGGACGCCGGCTCTGGATTCTTGACTCCGCACTCCCACTCGCTTCTTCCGCCACCCACATCGTTCGCATTATGTTGGCTTTTGTGTGTCCACTTCAAGGAGCAAACTGCTGTCTCCCGCTGAAGCACGGTTTCTCTTTTTAATGGCAAATATGATATACTATCGAAAAGTACAATAAGTACACCCTGTTTGGGAATATCAGGCGCAAGAATAAAAAGACATTTTGAAGCTATTATATTACGTGCACCTGGTTGCTGATCGACTCATTTTAGACGGCATGTCTGCGAAACTGCCTCCAGATGACACCACTCAGTGTGTTTCTCGAGTATTCCATTATTGTTTATCGGCGTTGATTGCCACGCTGAACATCCGCGTTTTTTGAATTGGCGCCACACTAAGGTTGCGGCTTGTGTCTCCGCTAAGTTTGGTATTATAGTGCAGACCTCGGCGTATTTACTGCATATTTAAGCAGTCGAGCGACGGTCACACTGCGTGTGTCCCTGCAAAATTTTTAATAAAAGTTATTAACCAGAATTCCAACGCAGGCTGTTTGAAACTAAAAGGTTTGGAACTCCACGAAAACTGACGCACGGGGCCAAAGTTTTACTGGCTCCGCGAAGCTCCCGAAAGTGCAGTGTCAGCGGAAAGTGAATTAATAACCGGCGGCATATTTTTACGATCATAATCCAAACTTTTCGCTGCAAATCAGCTGCACCACACACCGACACCATCTGGTTCTTCCCCGCATGTGCGCATATCCCCCGCGAGGGGTTTACTAGAGGGTAATCCGCATCCCGGCTGCACGTAAACTGCATTTTCCGACCATTTTCGCCTAACGGTACACGACTGACGTGTACATTAAGTTTGCAGCGGCGGTCCACACACACACACACGCATGCAAACGTTTGTAAGCTGTCCGCTTGTGTGCGTGAGTAATGTAAAAGCGAAGCCAAGGATCGAATACCCTGTAAACTTTAAGTTTCAGTTACCGTTACTATTTCAGTAGGCCGCGTCGTGGAGAGCAACAAAAGAATATTAATAAAAAATAATAATAACTTGAAAATCGGTCCAGCTTGTTAATAATATATTTTCCAGCTCTTCAGGTTGAAATCCAGGACAAGACGCCATGCGATTCGCTCTGGCCACCGTGGCCATCATCTGGGCTCTTTTCGTCTTGGCCGACGGAGTGGATCCCGGGAACTTCAAGACCTGCGAGCAGAGCAGTTTTTGCCGGTGAGTTTGGCTGTGCACATGATGGCTAACTACTTTTACTGCACAGGTGCAGGGTACCGATGCGGTACAGATGCGGGTTACGGGTTACCAAGATTCCAATAGTTGGCCAATAGTTGTGTGCTACCTTTTGGTAGTACGGTGCAGAAACACAATCATGTTGTGGATTTCTCATTGGGAGAACCCTTCAGCTACTCTTTAGCTACTTTTGGTCAATACTTATTACTAATACTGGGAATACGCGTATTGATCTATGAATGCTAGGGAAGGATGCTATAGGGAGATATTCCTCACTCTAAATGCAATTTGCTAGGGCTTCATTTCTTTCAAACTAATCCATGACATCTTATACTTCGTTTTTTTTAATGGATTTTTATATATTTTCAAAACTTGAATGAAATCAGTTAGAATCTCAGAATATATGTACATAAATATTATGCATTTATTATGTATATATTATGTATACATTATGTGTATATTATGTACATATTATGTATATTATTCCTCCAAACCTTGCCATTTTAGTTCATGAATTATACTTAACCTTCTGTAGCTTTGAGGTTTTCTGAATTTCCATTTAAAATTTGCAATGCCTCTTAGAGAGAAAGTGTTTACTTGTAAACTAACTAAATTACTATATTAAATTACTAACTAAATCACTTTTTGAATAGCGAAATAAGTCCATATATTGATACTCCTTTTTACTTGAGTTTTTTATATTTTATTGAGTTTTTTATATTGACTTTTTTACTGATGTAAGCCACTTATAACCAACAGATAAAATAACGCAATTATTTAATGATGATTAAATTACGGTTTTCAGACGCTCCCGGAAGATTCAGGGATCAGGCAGCAAGTACGCCCTAATACCCGGCACCTTGAACACCTATGCGGATTCGTTGACCGCTGATCTCGTAAACAAGGAGAATCATCACCAGTTCGCCTTTAAGCTAGAGGCTCTGAAGGGCAGTACCTTCCGCCTGCAGATCGATGAGAAGCAGCCACTACGACCACGATATCGCGTCGAGAACGCCCTTAAGGGCCCAACCCAGGCCGGGCACATTCGTGTCCAGCGGGAAACAGATGGAGAGATCGTAATCACATCGGAGAAGAATAAGGCTGTGATCCACGGAGACCCATTCCGGATCGATTTCTACGAAAACGACGTACTGGTGGTCTCAGTGAATGCCAAGAACTGGTTGTACTTCGAGCATTTGCGGCAGAAGGCCCAGGAACAGACTACTCAGCCGACCGAATACGAGAATCAGCAGGAGCAGGATGCCGCTGTGGAAACTCCCAAAGCAGCAGATACCATTGATGATCCTGGTGCATGGGAGGAGAACTTTAAATCACACCACGACTCCAAGCCGCACGGTCCAGAGGCTGTGGCTTTGGACTTTTCGTTTCCCGCAGCCGAAGTTCTATTCGGTATTCCAGAGCACGCCGACAGCTTCGTACTAAAGTCCACTTCGGGCACGGATCCGTATCGCCTGTACAACCTGGATGTGTTCGAATACATTGTAGACAGCAAGATGGCTCTGTATGGCTCAGTGCCGGTGATCTATGGCCACGGGTGAGTTGCCTTTGAGTTCTTCCTACTTCCTACTTTTATAGGTAACTCAATAGTTTAATTGCTGGCTTATAGCCTGCTGATTGTCCATTTTTGTAAAATAATTTGTTATATCTTCTAGACCACAACGCACTGCAGGCGTTTACTGGCAGAACGCCGCCGAAACTTGGGTGGACATCCAAACCTCGGAGACCAATGTTGTATCTTCGCTGGTAAATTTTGTATCCGGCTCGCGGAAGTCTCCTCCTCCGGCTGCCCACTTCATGTCGGAGTCGGGCATTGTGGACGCATTCATCATGCTGGGTCCTAAGCCCATGGACACTTTTAGGCAGTACTCTGCTCTGACTGGAACACACGAGTTGCCTCAGTTATTTGCCCTTGCCTACCACCAGAGTCGCTGGAACTACAACGACGAGAGAGATGTGACCTCCGTGTCAGCGAAATTCGACGAAAACAACATACCCATGGACACCATGTGGCTGGACATTGAGTATACAGATGGCAAGCGCTACTTCACCTGGGACAAGTTCAAGTTCCCGCAGCCGCTGACAATGATCAAGAATCTTACAGAACTGGGCCGTCACTTGGTGGTGATAATCGACCCGCACATCAAGCGGGATACTAACTACTTCTTCCATCGGGATTGCACGGACCGTGGCTACTATGTGAAAACGCGTGAGGGCAATGACTACGAGGGCTGGTGTTGGCCGGGAGCGGCTAGTTATCCGGATTTCTTCAATCCCGTGGTCAGAGAGTACTACGCCAGCCAGTACGCCCTAGACAAGTTCCAAACGGTCTCCGCAGATGTGATGTTGTGGAACGACATGAACGAGCCATCGGTTTTCAACGGCCCTGAGATCACGGCGCCAAAGGACTTGGTCCACTATGGCAACTGGGAGCACCGCGACGTGCATAATTTGTACGGTCACATGCACTTGATGGGCACCTTCGCGGGTCTCCAGCAGCGCGATCCCAACCAGCGGCCCTTCATCCTCACAAGAGCCCACTTTGCTGGGTCCCAGCGTTATGCTGCCATTTGGACGGGTGACAACTTTGCGGACTGGTCGCATCTACAGCACTCAATCAAGATGTGTCTCACAGAGGCGGTGGCTGGCTTCTCTTTCTGCGGTGCCGATGTCGGTGGCTTCTTTGGAAACCCAGATACTGAGCTGCTGGGGCGCTGGTATCAAACCGGTGCCTTCCTGCCCTTTTTCCGGGCTCATGCGCATATCGACACTAAACGCCGGGAGCCATGGCTCTTTCCGGAACACACTCGCCAGGTAATCCAGAATGCTGTGCTCAAGCGTTATTCATATCTGCCCCTGTGGTACACCGCGTTCTACGAACTGGAGCTGACTGGAGAGCCGGTAATTCGCCCATTATTAGCCCACTATCCCGTGGATAAGGAGGCTTTCGGCATTGACAGCCAGCTGCTGGTGCAAGATCGCCTGCTTGTAAGACCCGTCATGCAGCAGGGCGTCAGCAAGGTGGACGTGTACTTCCCAGCAATTGATGACAAAACGAACGGCGACTGGTGGTACGATGTGGATACTTATCAGCGCCAGGAACGAACCGGCTATGTGTCGGTGCCCGTAGATGATTTTAAGGTGAGAGGCGTTACTCTGTTTTCGAAAAGTCATGTGAATCATGTTTTACGCTTTCCACCTGCTTACAGATACCCGTTTGGCAGCGTGGTGGCAGTATTGTGCCGAAGAAGGAGCGACAGCGTCGCGCTTCAACCTTGATGCTGCACGATCCGTACACACTGATTATCTGCTTGGACCGTCAGGGCAAGGCATCTGGTACCCTCTACCTGGATGATGAGAAGTCCTACGCTTATCGCCAGGGCCAGCACATCCACGTGAACTACGAGTTCGCCAACCACCAGCTGGTCAACAGCTTCGTAGGCAAGCCAAAATACAAGACCCTTGCCTGGATCGAGCGAATAGTGATCGCCGGACTTGAGAAGGTGCCCAGCAGCGCCAGTATCACGGTGAACGGCGTCACCCAGCAGCTGGAGGTGCTCCAGCATGATCACTCGGTCGTCGTGCGCAAGCCGGGCGTCAAGATGGACGTCGACTTCGCCATCAAACTCAACTTTGCGTAGTCTGTAGTCGCCATGTGCGCCACGTATTAGTTTTCTTCTAAATATTTTAGTTGTGTACGCCTCTAAAATTGCTATTAAATGTTTTAAGCAGGGAAAATCAATTTATAGATTCCTTTCGATTAGTCCCTTGTCCCTTCTCTGCAATTCCAGCAATTCAACATTCGGAGAGTGCAACCCAAGTTGATCGCAATTATTGTTTCAATAAATCTACCAAGTTTTCTGTACGACCGATTTTTTATTGGTAAAACAATTACCCGTAAACAGCAATAAGCGCAGCACCACTTGAAATGTGATTTATACTTGATCAGTATCAAATGCAGAGTCAATT